GCTGTCGGCGGCGAGGAACAGCACCGTCCTGAGGCAAAAAGGAGGAAGCCTCGAGCGGGAGCGTTGATCTTGCTGGGAGCGGCGCCAATTTAAAAGAGAGTAGGGCGCCAGTCCATCGTAAAACGGGAGAAAGTCTCGGGCGGGAGCGCTGGTTTTGTCGGGGCGGGGGTTTTCGGCGGCGAGGAGGAGCACCGCCTTGTGTTAAAAAGGGAGGAAGTCTCGAGCGGCAGCGTTGTTGTTGCTGGGGGCGGCGCCGATGAGAGAAAGAGTAGCGCGCCAGTTCAAGGTAGAACAAGAAGAAGTCTCGAGCAGTGAGCGGTAGCGCTGGTTCTGTTGGGACGCATGTTTTCAGCGGCGAGCAGAAACACCGGCCTTTAGTAAAAAAGGACAGAAGTCTCGAGCGGGAGCGTTGTTGTTGTTGGGGGCCGGTTTTCGCGCCCCCGAAAACCGCTCGAGCGTGAGCTTCATGTTCAATGAAAAAGTAGCAGGCGCCCAGGCGATAGCGCCAAAGCTCCGAGGGCCTAGGGGGTCCAACAATAATAATTGTTTAGTGGTGAGAAATCAACGACAACAACACCACCAAAAACAACAACAACAACAACAACAACAACAACAACAACAGCATCATCAAAAGCAGCAACAAGAACATCAACATCATAAACAATAACAACAACACAACCACACCAACAACAGCAACACAACCACAACAGCAACAACAAAAGCAACAACAACGACGACATTCACAACAACAGCAACAACAACAGCAACAACAGCAACAACAACAACAGCAACGGTAACAGCAACAACAACAACAACATTAGCAACAACAGCATCATCATCATCATCGTCAGCATCATCATCAGCATCAACAACAACAGCAGCAGCAGCAGCAACAACGACAACGACAACAACAACAACAACAACAACAACAACAACAACAACAACAACAGCAGCAGCAGCAGCAGCAGCAACAACAGCAGCAGCAGCAGCAACAACAACAACAACAATCACAACAACAACACCAACAACAACAACAACAGCAGCAGCAGCAACAACAACAACAACAACAACAACACCAACACCAACAACAACAACAACAGCAGCAGCAGCAGCAGCAGCAGCAGCAGCAACAACAACAACAACAACAACAACAACAACAACAACAAAAACATCATCAACAACACCAACAACAACAACAACAACAACAACAACAGCAGCAGCAGCAACAGCAGCAGCAGCAGCAACAACAACGACAACAACGACAACAACAACAACAACAACAACAACAACAAAAACAAAAACATCATCAACAACAAAAACATCGCAAACATCACACTTGGAGCCCCGGACCCCCAGCTCTCTGCATGCGTCGTTCTTCGAGCCGCATCGATCCGCGTGAGGGCCCCGGGGCCCGAACCGGGCCAAGACGCCCGCGGTGAAAAGAGCTGCCTCGCGCCAGGAGGAGCTCCCGGGACGCCGAGCCCGGGCCTCGGGCCGGGCCCAGGGCGAACACGCCCGTGGTGAAGAGGGCTGCCTCGCGCCAGGAGGAAGTTCGGGGACGCCGAGCCCGGGCCTCGGGGCCGGGCCCAGGGCAGGACCGGCGAGGCGGTCCGGTCGACGCCCCCCGCGAGAGGGCGGGGAGGCGGAGCGCGCTGCGCCGCGCCGAGGGGCGGCGCGTTTCGCCGCCGGGCCCCCCGCGCCCGGGGGGAAGCGAGAAGGGGCGGGCCCCCTCAGAAGGCCGCGGCGAAGTCGGCGGCGAGCCCGGGGGGGAGATGAGCAGAGGCGGGCCTTCTGGGGATGCCTTCTTGAGCCTGTCCTAAGGGCACCCAAAGCTTCTCAGCAGGCGGGAGGACCTGCTCCTTCTCTTGAGCAGGGACCAGCCGTCCAGGCATTCCTATAGGCCTACCACGACATGTTCTTCGAATCAACAAACGCAAAACAACACAAACACTATGTTCTTACAGCCTGATTTCAAAGTACTAACATAAGACAGTCTCGGCCAGAAGTGTTTTAACATCATGTCGTGCAAACCGCAAACATGTGATTAAAACGTGTTGGTAGGCCTAAAGGCCAACCAGGACGCTTCGCCGCCGCTTGAGTCTCACTTCCACCTCCCTCGCTCGCCACCGAGAGGCGGCCACGACGCGCCGATGAGCAGCGCGGTTTGCCGCTGGGCGCCCCGCGGCGACTGTCGGCGGCGCGCGAGGGGGGGAAGCGAGGAGGAGAAGGCCCTCTCAGAAGGCGGCGGGCCTTCTCAGAAGCCCTCGAGGCCCTCTGAGAAGGTGGTTCATGTGCCGTCGGGGCAGGCCTGGGGAACCTCTCAGAAGGCCGAGGGACTTTCCGAACCTCCTGAGAAGGCCCGCCCTCACGAGCGGCGCACATGTCCGTATCCGCTCCCTCGCGTCTGCGTCCTGGGGAGCGGTCCCTGGGATACGCGGTCGCACGGATACGTTCTGCGCGGGGCATCCTCGAAGAAACGCCCCGCATCCGCGGCCTAGGGGCCCGGCCCGCGAGGCCGCGGACGGATATGTTTTCGCCCATGACGCATCTTTTTGGGACGCCCGAAATGGGCACGGAAAGAATGGGTACAATGCCCAACAACAAATGTTGTCCCAAACCAACAGCGGCCACTGTTGGGCAGGCGGCCTTCTGTCTCAAATGGACACAGGCCGTGGCGGCGCGGACAGCGAGTCCTGTTCAAAATGAACAGGAAAAACTGTTGGGCATTGTGCCCATTCTTTCCGTGCCCATCTCGTGCGTGCAGATCTTTTCGCATCCCCAAACCCCGGCTCGCCGCCGATCGAATAGGGGATCGACTACATTTTGGAGTGAATCAATGATTCACTCCAAAATTGAGATCATCGCCGAGTGTGCAAGAAGCGCCGTAGATCTACAGGATAGTATTCTAAGCTGCTTGAAGCAAAACATTATTATGCCCCTGCGCCTTACTTTGCTTGGGGCAGAAGAGCTGATGTGGCAATTGACGCGGCTCTCTACTGTTCTCTCCGTCTCTGGGTTCTCTACTTGCTTGTCCTTCTCTTTCTTTCATTGTCCCAAGAGGGACCCCTAGTTTCCCAAGAAGGTCCCAAGAGGCGCCCAAGGGGCTCCAAGAAAATCTCCAAGAGGCTTCCAAAGACACCCAAGCGGTCTCAAAGAGGCCCTCCAGAGGCCTCAATCCAAAAAAACGAAATGCAACAAACATGCAATGCAAAAGCAAAACACATGTAATTCTAATCATGGTGGTTGGCGCCGTGGGCTTCAGATCCTCCCTGGACCTCCCCAAACCTCTCTCTCCTCGCGCGCGGAATCCAAAGCTGAAGCTAGAACGACAAAGCTGCAATGCAACAAAAACAGGATTTCTCGTCTCGCACGCGGAATATAAAGCTGATGCCAGAACGGCAGAACTGCAATGCAAAAACAACTGCAATGCAAAAACAACTGTAATTATGATCATGGTGGTTGGCACCGTGGGCTTTTCAAAACCTTCCTGGACCTCCCCAAACCGCTCTCGCCTCAAACGCGGAATCCAAAGCTGAAGTTAAACAAAGCATATGTTCTCGCCTCGCACGCTGGATCCACAGCTGAAGCTAGAGCGCAAAACTGCAATGCAGCAATAAACTGCAACGCACAAAAAAATGCAATGCAAAGCACATGTAATTATGATCATGGTGGTCGGCGCCGTGGGCTTCAAACCCTCTCTGGACATCCCCAAACCGCTTCTGCCTCGCACGCGGAATCCAAAGCTGAAGCTAGAACGGCAAAACTGCAATACAAAAATCACTGCAATGCAACAATAACTGCAATACAAAAAAACTGTACTTCTGATCATGGTCGTTCGCGCCGTGGGCTTCAGACCCTCCCTGAACCTCCCAAAACCGGTCTCGCCTCGCACGCGGAATCGCTGCAATGCAAAAAAAAACTGCAATGCAACAAACACTGCAATGCAAAAAAAAACCATTTTGGTCGTCGTGGTGGTTGGCGCTGCCTCGCCAGACCTCCCCTAAACCACTCTGGCCCGGATTCTAAGCTAAGGCTGCAAGACGAAGCTCAAACCAGATCCAACAGACGAGCCAAACCAGATGCAAAAAAAAGACTGCAATGCAAACAAAACTGCAATGCCAAAAAGCTGCAATGCCACAGTGCAAAACAAACTGCATTTCGGTCGTCGTCGTGGTGACCTCTCCGGACCTCCCCTAAACCACTCTCGCCCAGATCCTAAGCTAAGGCTGCAAGACGAAGCTCAAACCAGACCAACCAGACCAGCCAGACCACAGCCAGACTTTCTCTTTGTAAGCTTGGCGTCCCCCCGTGCGCTACATGGTTAATAACTTTATACAATGTAGGCTAGTCAACCAAAAAACATTCCACAAGAAACCCAAACCTAAGACCCCCGGGTGTCCATCGATGTTTGGAGTGGGAATGTCACGCTTTCCATCGCAAAACCTTCACAACCCACGAAACCCAGGGCACCCTGGAGGCACGCAGGGTGATTCTTGCCATGGGCCTCTACTGCACGTATGCTTCGTAGCTTCGGCGGGAACAAAAAACAATTCTGGGGTACCCATCGGTCGGAAGAAGCAGGTAGAAGCATGACGCAGGAAGGCGCCGAAGTAGATTGGGCTTCCGCCTGCCCCCTGCAGAGGAGGGAAAATGGAAGACATCTGAGAACCCACATTTGGACGCCCGAAATGGGTACGGAAAGAATGGGTACAATGCCCAACAACAAATGTTGTCCCAAACCAACAGCGGCCGCTGTTGGGCAGGCGGCCTTCTGTCTCGAATGGACACAGGCCGCGGCGACACCGACAGCGAGTCCTGTCCAAAATGAACAGGAACTGCTGTTGGGCATTGTACCCACTCTTTCCGTACCCATCTCGTTCGTGCCGATCTGAGAACCCAAACATACCTACTTTCAACGATCGGTGGGTCAATCAATACTGTAGGCGATCCCCTACTCGAGCCGGGACGGGGGAGCACGCGCAGACACGCGCCGCGCGGCCCTACGCCGCGGACCCCGGCCGAGGCGGGGCCGGCACGAGGCGCAGCACCAGGAGGCGGGAGCCCTGGGCGGTGGCGGCGCCGCCGCCTCGCTCTGGGCGGCCGCTGGGGGGGGGAGGGGGAGGAGGAGGAGGAGGAGGAGGAGGAGGAGGAGGAGGAGGAGGAGGAGGAGGAGGAGGAGGAAGAGGAGGAGGAGGAGGAGGAGGAGGGTGAGGAGGAGGAAAAGGAGGAGGAGAAGGAGGAGTGGGGGGGGGCGCCCACGCGCGCGGCTTCGTCTTCGGCATCGTCCCCAGGCCCCCATCGCGCTGTGAAGGAAAATCGCGACGGGGGGCGCTTCGCTGCTCTCGGCCTCTGGGGGGGGGGCCCTCGCGGGGCCTCAAGACCGCCAAGAAGCAGCTCAGGATGAACAAAAACCGATCCTGGGAAGGGGTCGTCGAGACCGTGGTGGGTCGACGAGTGAAAAATTCACAACGCTGGGGGTCTGGTCGCCCACGTCGTCCTCATCGTCGTCCTCGTCGCAGTCTCCGTCGTCGTCCTCCTCGCCGTCCACAAGCAGGAGGGCGGGTAGTGTGGTGGGCCTCTGGGCCTGCGCATGAGCCGCCACGATGCGTCCGAGCGACACGAAGCCGCGGTTGCAGGCGATCCTCCACAAGGCCCGAATGGGCCCCACCCCGATGGCCATGGAGGTCCGTCAAGCAGAACTCGGCCAGGCACGGCCCAGGCGAAGCCGGATCCTCTCGTCGCTCCTGTGGCTGTTCATACCCCCCAGGCAGGCTCACCCGAGTCGCCTGACCCCACTTGACCAAGATCGTTGTAACTTGTTCTGCGTTAACCTAGGTTCACGGTGGAGGGGGGATGCACTGGCCGCTAACCCAACCTTTTTCCCGTGAGGCAGCCCCTCACATGCCCGCGCGCACCAGTACTGCGTACCCCTTCTGGCCTGCGCAACCGACAAGGTCAGGTTATATGGGGGGGAGCGGCGGCGGCGGCGGCCAGGTCCCAGAACCCGGGCGATCGCTGAACGCAAACAAAAACATCTCCGCCACCAATATTCCCTGAGATCCGACATTGCGAAACCAATCACACCATCACAATCAAAAACCATTACCAGAGCCCCCGACCTACCTTAAGGGGGGCAGCCTCGTCGGAGCCATGGGCGATCGGAGGAGGAGAGTGACTACCTACCAGACCACCCCAACCCAACCCGAAGACCCGAACTTCGAATTTGGGGGTATGTACGGGCTTCGTATGTGTTTTTCCATGATTCCCACCCACCCCCACTGGAAATGCAGGGCAAATCGGGGCATTCGGGCTGGTTTGGGGTGTTTTTGTAGGCGGTGAGAGGGACTAGAGGCCCCCTGGATGGGGTCCGAGTAGATGGGGTCGAAAGATCGTGCCGCATCGCCAATGCGTCGCCGATGTATCGGCGATGCATTGGCGACGTCGGCGCGTGCAAAAAGGGGCTCCACATCGAGCGTATCGTCGATGCATCGGCGATGCGGCGCGATCCTCCGACCCCATCTACTCCGACCCCTTCTAGGAGGCCTAGAGGGACGAGGACGACGAGGACGACGACGAGGACGAGGAGGACGAGGAGGACGACGAGGACGACGAGGACGAGGAGGACGAGGAGGGCGAGGACTAGGACGAGGACGACGAGGACGAGGACGGCGAGGACGAGGAGGGCGAGGACGAGGACGAGGGCGACGAGGACGGCGAGGACGAGGAGGACGAGGAGGACGAGGGCGACGAGGAGGGTAACGAGGACGAGGACGAGGACGACGAGAACGAGGACGAGGACGACGAGGACGAGGAGGGCGACGAGGAGGACGAGGGCGGCGGCGCGCCCGGCGCTGGCCGCGGCGGCCGCTCCCAGAGGCGCGGCTCCACGGCCAGCGGCTCGAGGCCTGCGGGGCCGTGGTGAGGCGCGCAGCGAGGCTGCCGCCGCAACGGAGGTCTCGTCTCCTAGGTGGGGTCGGAGGATCGCGCCGAATCGCTGACACATCGGCAACACGTCGGCGACGCAACGGCGATGCATCGGCGATGCGACGGCGATGCATCACCGACACATCGGCGGTGCATCGGCGGTGGTGACGTGAAGCAAGGCGGGCTGCACATCGAGCCGCATCGGCGATGCATCGGCGGTGCGGCGCGATCCTCCAACCCCATCTACTCTGACCCCATCTAGGAAGCCTAGACGAAAGGAGCGAAGCCTTCGATTCGGGATAGGAAGGCTCCAACCACAGGAGAGCTCAACATCGAATCGACAAAGCGGATCGGCGAGCGCCACGAACCGGATCGACGGGCATCGGCAGCCGCGTCGAGGAAGAGTCGAATCGGCAGACATCGGCAGGCTTGTAGGCCCCAAATGAGCGATCCGAAATCGAAACGAATCGGAATCGGAATCCATCGAAATCGATTCGAATCGAATCGTCGGCATCGAAACGAGCCCTGCAACCATATACACCAACACTGATCCTGACCAGGATCACCCTGGGCCCGGGATCGGTGTATACGCCCTCCTGCCTTGGGCAGGATGAATATACACCTATCCTGGGCCAAAGGTCGGCCTGGCCAAGATCGGTGTAGGTGTATAGTTGGTGCCATCCGACGGGAGCCAACAAAAGACCTATGCGCCATGAACACGGCCCCCCAGTCCGCGAGACCAGCCGCGTGATACGAAAATTCGCGCAATACGTGCTCTCGAAACCAACGTGGATTCATGTACGTGTACGCCTTCCTTTCGCTCCCAATCGGTGGCAACTCATGGAAGCCTCCAATGCCAGATTGCGGGCTTTTGAGAATCGACGCTTGACGACGCTAACCGAGGCTAGTCGAGGCTGAATCGGCGCTCTCTCATCGACTGCCAGAGTGCACGAGAATGCACTCGAAGGACAGACTTCCGAACACATACACAGATGGTTTGCGACCGAAGAAAAAACTTGGTGGCTTCAAAACCGCGTGGCTGCCCGAGGGGCGTTAGAAGAGCAACCATGCGAGGACCTAGGGGCCTGAGGAGCAGTCGAGCTATGGACTGACGGACAGATGGCTGAACACCCGCCAGAGGCATCTCTACACAACAAGCCCCAGCATGTCGCATTGGGCTCTCGAGGAAGCCTCAGAAGATCCACTTGGGGGACCAAAAATGGCCCTGGCCAGGCGAGTTGGTGGTGGTGAAATGAGTAGGTACCTTCCGTGAGATCCGACGTCGCGGGCCGGGTCCCAGACCAGGTCGCGGGTGGGTCAGGGGATGGGCCGGGGGGTGGGCCGCGGGTGGGTAGCGGGCCGGGTCGCGGGTGGGACGACAACAAACAGCAAGAAACAATCACCAAACAACAAACAGCGCAACACAAGCGCAACCACAAGCACCACCAAGCAAAAACAACAACAACAATATTTTGAAGACTGTTCGCCCATATCTGCTCGAGTGTCCAATAACGCGTATTTCCCAAACCCTCGATACCCGCCCTCTTCGACTTCGATCGAACTCCTTTTGGGGGGTATACCTTTCTTCCCTGCAGGCCGGGCCCTGGCGAGCGGCGGGGCGGCCGCGGACCGTCGGCCTGGCCAGCGGCAGCGCTGATCGGCGGGGCGGCCGCGGACCGTCGACCCGACCCCAAGAGGGACGGACAGGGGACCGACCACGACGACGACGACGACCACGACGACGACGACGACGACGACGACTTCGACGACGACGACGACGACTTCGACGACGACGGCGACGACGGCGACGACGACGGCAACGACGACGACGACGACGACGGCGACGAGCGAAAGCGAGAGCGAGAGAAAACGACAGCAGGGCCACAAAGGACACGAAGTAGACCACGAAGGGCGACAGCGGGGACACGAAGGGAATGCGTATGGGGCCACGAAGAGCGCGAACGAGCGGGGGCCACGAAGGGCAGATAAAGCGGGGCCACAGAAGGCAACGATGGGGCCACTGAGGGTAGCAACTGGGCCACGTAGGACAGTGAGGGGGCCACAAACGGCGACAGTGGGGCCACGAAGGGCATGCACATGGTGCCACAACGGGCGCGAACGAGCGGGGGCCACGAAGGGCATACGTATGTTGGGCCGCGGAGGGCAAGAACGGGGCCACTGAGGGCAGCAACGGGGCCACGAAGGGCAGCGAGGGGGCCACGAAGGGCGACAGCGAGACCACGAAGGGCATGCATATGGGGCCACCACGGGCGTGAACGAGCGGGGGCCACGAAGGGCATACATAAATGGGGCCACGAAGGGCAGCGAGGAGGCCATGAAGGGCTGCAAAGGGGCCACGAAGGGGAGAGGGGGAGCCACGAAGGGCTGCAACGGGGCCACGAGGGGCTGCAACGGGGCCAAGAAGGGCAGCGAGGGGCCCACGAAGGGCTGCAACGGGGCCACGAAACAAAGCGAGGGGGCCACGAAGGGCTGCAACGAGGCCACGAAACAAAGCGAGGGGGCCACGAAGGGCTGCAACGGGGCCACGAAGGGCAGCGAGATCCCGATTCCTAGGTAATCTGTGAGGGAGTCCTAAGCGTGAGCGCGACTCCTGGGTGCCTGGGTGTCGGGAGCGCGGCGTTCGAGTAAATTGCAAGAAATTGCAACGCAAGGGCGCTGTTCGTCAGTAAATTGCAAGCAAGTCTCCAGCGAGAGCGCGACTCCAGAGCGCCGGGAGAGCGATTCCTAAATCAATTGTAAGGAAGTCTCAAGCGAGAGCGCGATTCCCGAATAAAATGCGAGGATGTCTGGGGCGGGAGCGGGGGTCCTGGCTAAATTGTAAGGAAGTCTCAGGCGGGAGCCGTTGTTGTTGTAACCTGGGGGCCAGGGGCGCAGTTTGAGCATCAAGACTTCCCCTGTCAAAAAACAAGGTGCGAACGTCGAGGGGCACACCTTGATTGAGAAAAACAGCACGCACCGGTGAGGGGGGACCAGGAATAATTGTTCTCCAAAAACGAAAATTCAACACCACCACCGACAACAACAACAACAACAACAACAACAACAACAACAACAACAGCAGCAGCAGCAGCAGCAGCAGCAGCAGCAGCAGCAACAGCAACAGCAACAGCAACAACAACATTCCGCACCGCGGGCGGGACCTCAGTTCAGCCAAGCGCCGAGGGAGAGCGAATAACCACTCGGCCCCCACATTCTGATCCACTGCGCCTCGGCTTCGTTGCGACACATCCCCCACAAACAAAAACATGGTGCAAATGGATATGAATATGAAGCTTGTCCGCATCCACGGGCGGGCGCCAACTATACACATGTTTCATCGATGGGCGATACCCAGGTGGATTACCCGTTGCGGGGGGGTGGGGGGCGTGACGGCCAATAACTCATGTGTTGTTTCTCTCTGGGCATCCATATGTATGCCCACGCGCACCAAGACTGAGCACTCCCCCCGGACCCGCGTAACCGACAAGGCCAAGTTATCCAGGGGGGGGGGGCGGGCGGGCCAAACAACTTGGATGATCACTGGACCCTGAGCAAAACCTCCTTGCCCAATGATGTTTTTCTTGAGCGCGGGTTTCTGACGGATTGGAACCCCCAACATCCGGGATCGATGGAAACATATGGACGACGGATTGACAACATGTAATTGAGAGATGACGATAGAGAAAAAGAGAGAAATGAGAGATAGAGTGAACAAGGACAAGTGTGTCTATATACATATAAAATTGTACTAGAACCATCGCGCGCGCTTCGCGCGCGCTCAGGTTCTAGCAGGCCCCAGGCCTTGACGAATTCACTGCTCCACTGAAGTAATGGACCACAGCCCATGCCAACCCGCATTCCGAAAGGCTTCGGGGAAAATGGTTGCGTAGGGGGGCGGAGGCCGGATGAATCGGGCTCCCGAAGGACTTCTGGGAGAATGGGTTTGAAGGGCGTCTTGGGGAGCCTGCTGGGGCGTGCAGCCGTCGTCGTCGTAATGTCGTCGTCGCCTCTTGGGGCGCGCCGTCGTCGTCGTCCACGTCGTCGTCGTCGTCGTCGTCGTCGTCGTCGTCGTCGTCGTCGTCGTCGTCCTCGTCTTCGTCGTTTCGTCGTCGTCGTCGTCGGTTCTAGAGGGCACTTTGCGCGAAACGATCTGCGGAGGGCCGCGAGAAGGCGATCAGTCATGTTCCCAGTCAACTTCCCAGACAGCTCTCCTGTAGCATGATGGTACTTCGAAGCCTCCGGAGACTCGCGGGCCCATGATGAACCATGTCCCCGGAAGGCTTTCCGGGGACATGGTGTGTTGGGGTGTGTTGGGGGGCCTCTTGGGCGCTCCCTGGGGGCCCCCTGGGGGCCTCCGGGAACTCGCGGGCCCCTGATGAACCATGTCCCCGGAAGGCTTTCTGGGGGCATGATTTCTTGGGGTGTGTTGGGGGGCCTCTTGGGCGTTCCATGGGAGCCCCTTGGGGGAGGAGGAGGAGGAGGAGGAGGAGGAGGAGGAGGAGGAGGAGGAGGAGGAGGAGAGGAGGAGAGGAGGAGGAGAGGAGGAGGAGGAGGAGGAGGAGGAGGAGGAGGAGGAGGAGGAGGAGGGAGGAGGAGGAGGAGGGAGGAGGAGGAGAGGGGAGGAGGAGGAGGAGGAGGAGGGAGGAGGAGGAGGAGGAGGAGGAGGAGGAGGAGGAGGGGGGGGGGGGGACAGGCCTCTTGGGGCTTCCTGGGGACCTCTTGGGCGCCGCACGGTTCGTGAAAACCTCTTGGTGGCCTCTGGGGGCCTGCTGGCGGCCTCTAGGGTCAGAGACCTCGACATATCGGTTGGCGGTCCCCCTCTGGGCCCCCTCTTGGGGAGCTCTTGGGGCACCTGGGCCGTTTTTGTTTTTTTCTGGCCAATGGCAGCGTCTTCATTGGTCGAGCTACTCCGTCGATGCGCCGCGCCGCGCGTACGGGAAGCGCGGTGCCGCACCGACGCGCGCCGTGCCGCACGGTCCTGACACGACCATCCAGGCCGCTGGCTGTCTGTGTGAACGGGTCACCCAGCAACGCCCACTGTGCCAAGGACGCCAACGACAAACTTGGCTCGCGCGCACCTGGCTGCGCCTGCCGCCCTCGGGCTCCGCCCGGCTCCGCCTGTCTGCGTCCACTCGAGCGGACTGCCTTTCGCACCAGCCCTGGGCTGCGCCTTGCGCGCATGCTGCCCACTAGGCAGCCCGACGGGATTCTCTGCACTAGGCTCGATCAGTACAGCCTGCTTCAATCCCACGGGCCCCTTAGGTTGTCTTGGGCTGACAGGGGCAAGCGAAAAGGTAAAAACGCGAGAATGTATCAGATGATGATGATACGGATGAGGAGGAGGAAGGAGAGAGAAGAGAGTGGGCAGGAGGCAATAGATGATCTTGGGGAGGGGGGGGGCAGAGATGAGAATTCTCGACGAGGGATCTGGTACAGTCAGACGCCTCGGCATGCTGCCAGGGTCTCCAGCAAGATGCCAAAACAAAGGCCAGCGATATGGTCTGCTGCCAAAAGCTTCTGGCAGCATCTAAAAAGTTTAAAAAAACAGGATCACTGACAGTCTCATCTCGTGCACCTAGGCGCTCTAAATGGGCGCAGCCCTCTAGGGAGGAGCACGAGGAGTAGAAAATGAGATGAAGGGGGGATAATGGAAGGCTGCGAGACTGCACGTATTGTGGAGGCGACGGCTGAAAATGCCATATAAGTGCTACTACCTACTGAGCAGGCGAAGCAACCAGTCCCAGAGATTCTGCGAGTCCTCTGATTCATCGATAATATGTTCACCACAATCCCAAACAGCCTCGTCCGTCTTGACCCACCCGTCCTCCGTCCACATGGAGTTTGGGTCGCAAGTTTGGTTGCACGCGAACCAGTAGTCATTCTTCTTGTAGCACTTCGCGTCAGGATCAGCGCAGCACTGGGACAGTGCGCAAGACGCCCCGTTTGGAGAGCATGGGAGCCGAATCTCCTCACAATCCCAGACTGTCTCGTTCGTCGTGACCCATCCGTCCGCCGTCCACATACTGTTCGGTTCGCAAGTCTGGTTGCACGAGCTCCAGTGATCATTCTTCTTGTAGCACTTCGAGCCAACCTCAGCGCAACACATGGTAAGTGCGCAAGACTCCCCGTTCGGCGAGCAAACGGAGGCTGTCGCAACATCGGAACTACTCGCGGCGTCTGCCGACACATCGGCGTCAGCGGCAATACTGACATCGGAGTCAGACGAAACGTCGGTACTGTCGATGCTGATGACTTCGCAATCCCAAACTGTTTCGTTCGTCTTGACCCAGCCGTTCTCCATCCACATGTAGTTTGGATTGCAAGTTTGGTTGCACGCGAACCAATAGTCATTCTTCTTGTAGCACTTCGAGCCGGGATCAGAGCAGCACTGGGAAAGTGCGCAAGACGCCCCGGGTTGCGAGCACGGCGGCCGAATCTCCGTGCAGTCCCAGACTGTCTCGTTCGTCGTGACCCATCCGTCCACCGTCCACAGACTGTATGGGTTGCAAGTTTGGTTGCACGAGCTCCAATGGTCATTCTTCTTGTAGCACTTCGCGCCAGGCTCAGAACAGCACTGGGACAGCGCGCAAGACGCCCCGGTCTGCGAGCACGTGCCGTTCTCGTCCTCGGCTGCTGCATCAGCAATGGGATCCGCTGATTCGACAGGATTCACGGTGAGGTCCTCGCAATCCCAGACTGTCTCGTCCGTCTCGACCCAGCCGTCCTCCATCCACATGTAGTTGGGGTTGCAAGTTTGGTTGCACGAGCTCCAATAGTCGTTCTTCTTGTAGCACTTCGCCCCTGGCTCAGAGCAGCACTGGGACAGTGCGCAAGACGCCCCGTTGTGCGTGCACGGAAGCCGAATCTCCTCACAATCCCAAACTGTCTCATTCGTCGTGACCCATCCGTCCACCGTCCAAAGACTGTATGGGTTGCAAGTTTGGTTGCACGAGCTCCAATGGTCATTCTTCTTGTAGCACTTCGCGCCAGGCTCAGAGCAGCACATGGTAAGTGCACAAGACTCCCCGTTCTGCGAGCACGCGGAGGCTGTCGCAGCATCGGAGCTCGCGGAGTCTGACGAAGCATCAGCGTCAGCAGCAGCAGTGGAATTAGCGGTGCTGTCGATGCTGATGACTTCGCAATCCCAGACTGTCTCGTTCGTCTTGACCCAGCGGTCCTCCATCCACATGGAATTAGGGTCGCAAGTTAGGTTGCACGCGAACCAATAGTCATTCTTCTTGTAGCAACTCGCGCCTGGCTCAGAGCAACACTGGGAAAGTGCGCAAGACGCCCCGGGCTGCGAGCACGGCGGCCGAATCTCCGTGCAGTCCCAGACTGCCTCGTTCGTCGTGACCCATCCGTCCACCGTCCACAGACTGTTTGGGTTGCAAGTTTGGTTGCACGAGCTCCAATAGTCGTTCTTCTTGTAGCACGTCGAGCCTGGCTCAGAGCAGCACTGGGACAGAGCGCACGACGCCCCATTTTGAGAGCACGTGCCTTTCTCGTCCTCGGCTTCTGCATCAGCGATGGGATCCGCTGATTCGACAGGATTCACGGTGAGGTCCTCGCAATCCCAGACTGTCTCGTCCGTCTCGACCCAGCCGTCCTCCATCCACATGTAGTTGGGGTTGCAAGTTTGGTTGCACGAGCTCCAATAGTCGTTCTTCTTGTAGCACTTCGCCCCTGGCTCAGAGCAGCACTGGGACAGTGCGCAAGACGCCCCGTTTGGCGTGCACGGAAGCCGAATCTCCTCACAATCCCAAACTGTCTCGTTCGTCGTGACCCATCCGTCCACCGTCCACAGACTGTTTGGGTCGCAGGTTTGGTTGCACGTGCTCCAATGGTCATTCTTCTTGTAGCACTTCGCGCCAGGCTCAGAGCAGCACATGGTAAGTGCACAAGACTCCCCGTTCTGCGAGCACGCGGAGGCTGTCGCAGCATCAGGGCTACTCGCGGAGTCTGACGAAGCATCAGTGTCAGCGGCATTCCCGGCACCGGAGTCAGACGAAACATCGGTACTATCGATACTGATGACCTCGCAATCCCAAACTGTTTCGTTCGTCTTCACCCAGCCGTTCTCCATCCACATGTAGTTTGGATTGCAAGTTTGGTTGCACGCGAACCAATAGTCATTCTTCTTGTAGCACTTCGCCCCTGGCTCAGAGCAGCACTGGGAAAGTGCGCAAGACGCCCCAGTTGCCGAGCACGGCGGCCGAATCTCCGTGCAGTCCCAGACTGTCTCGTTCGTCGTGACCCATCCGTCCACCGTCCACAGACTGTATGGGTTGCAAGTTTGGTTGCACGAGCTCCAATGGTCGTTCTTCTTGTAGCACTTCGCGCCAGGCTCAGAACAGCACTGGGTAAGTTCGCAAGACGCCCCCGTCTGCGAGCACGGATCGGTCTCGCTGGGATCCCCGCCACTCACATTGCTGGCAGCCTCGACAATTATAGCCTCGGGAGAGGCAAGAGTCGCGGCCCCCGTGGAGGGCCCCGCGCGCCAAGCCACAGCCAGCAAAGCCAGCGCCGCCGCGGCCGCCGACAGCGCCGCCGCCCCGGCCAGAGCGCGCTGCTCGCGCGGCGCGCGCGGCGCCCGCGCGGGGGCGATCACCCCTGGCTCGCAGTCGCTCTCGAGGGGGAGCTGGAGCGGCAGGAACTCGCTCCTGTCCGCGCGCATGGCGGGCGAACGATCGAGCTGCAGCGGGCGCCTGTCGGGTGGGAACGCGAGTCTCGAGCCTCGAGTCAAAATGACTTGAGCCAAAATGACTTGAGCCAAAATGGCTACGGATTGGGGCACCTGGGCCGTCTTGGGGCCCTCTTCGGGGCCTCGTGGGCCGTCTTGGAGCGATCTGAAGGGCCTCAGAGGCCGTGAGGGAGCGCTGGGAAGCGGGGAAAGCGAGAACGCCTAAATCCTTCAAACACCATCGGAAAATAAGCGAATCTTGCATCCCAGGGCCTTGGGGAGCCTCTCGAGTCCGTCCTGCAGCGTGTTGGAGTCCTCGTCGGCCGTCTTGAGGGCATCTTGGGCGTCTTCGGGGCCTCTTGGGAGCCTTAGCATGTCGTGGCCTGTTTCGGGGCGGGCCTGGGCCGCCTCGGGAGCTCTGGATCCCCCCCCACAACCCCTGGCGGGCACCGATGGGGGGAACAGGCAGCGGCCCACTTCCCCCCCCCGGGCCTACTCCGAGATAGAGAAACATGTTCCTGGGAAGCTTTCCGGGAACATGATCTGTTCGGCTCTCCTAAGAGGGGGGCCTCTGGGGGCTTACCGAGGGGCCCCTTTTGGCCTTGTCGGCAAGCCTATTGGAAACATGGTTGGGGCGGTGGGCGGAAGCCCAAGGAATCATGTTCCCGGAAAGCTGTCAAATACGATTTACCGAGGTGTCTTAGGGGGCCCGCAGGGGGCTTCCCTGGGGGGCCCTGGGGGGGCTATTGGGGCTTCTGGGGGGCCTGTTGGGAGCCTCACGGGGCTTCTTGGGAGCCTCTTGATGGCCTCCAGGGGCGTTCTAGGAGCCTCTCAGGCCGGAGACCTTGAAATGCCGCGCTCTTCGGGCCCTCTTGGGTAGCTCTTGGGGCTCTCTGGGGCGCTGTCGAGGCCCTCTTGAATTATCTGGGGAGCCTCCTGGGCCGTCTCTGAGCTTTCTTGTGAGCCTCTTCGGCTGTATTGGAGCGATCTGAAGGGTCTCTGACGCCGTCGGGGACCCTAGGCGGTCCTTTGCTATGCACCGGTATGTTCTGGAGGTCTTTTGGGGGCCGTTTGGGATGCTCTTGGGGCCTCTTTTGGGGCCTCTTTGGGGCCTCGTGGTGCATCTAGGGGGCCTCTGGGGGGCCTCTTGGGCTCTGTTGGGGGCCTCTTGGGGCCTCATGGAGGCCTTTTGGGGCGGAAGGCTCGAATTGTCGGTTAGCGTTCCACCTCTTGAGCCCCTCTTGGGGCCGTCTTGGGGCCCTCTTGGGCGATCTTGGGCGCCTCGTGGGCTGTCTTGGGGCGCTTTGGGGCCGTCTTGGGGCTCTCTTGCGCCGTCGTGGCGCCATCTTTGGGTGCCTCTTGGGCCGGGTTAAACTGATTTCTGGGGCGTCGTGGGCTGTCTTGGACAGTCGGAAGCACGAAACAGCGAGAACACGAAAAACCTTCAAAACCAAAAAAAAACACTTCGTCCGCCTCCTGAGTTTGGGACTCCTTTTGAGAGCATCTTGGCCGTCTTGAAGCCCTCCTGGGCTGTCTTCAAGCCATGTTGGACAAAGTTTGAAACGCTCTTGTGCGTTCTTGGGCTCTCTTGGAGCGCTCTTGGGCCATCTTGGCGCCCCCTTGCCCACTTTGACGTTTTTCGGCGCCCCCCGCCGGGCCCGAAACAGTCAGAAGATAAATAAGTACACTTTGGGGGGCCCGGGACCCACGGGACACCACGGGACACCATGAGACACCACGAGACACTTGTCGATCTCACATCTCATTATCGATCTCACTCAACGGGACACCACGTGACACCGCGGGCCACCACGGGACACCACGAGACACCGCGGGACACCTCTCGATCTCACTATCGGTCTGACTATCTATCTCACTATCCAGTTCACTCAACGGGACACCACGGGACACCACGGGACACCACGGGACACCTGTCGATCTCACTACCGATCTCACTATCGATCTCACTATCGATCTCGCTCAACGGGACACCACGAGCCACCACAAAACACCACGGTGCACCGGCGGGACACCGCGGGCCACCGGCCGCCAGAGGAAAAACAGTTGGTCCGGCCGCGGCCCAGCCACAGGAGGATTTCCTCTCGCCCGCCCACGCAGCTTCGCCTCGCACGCACGCACGCACGCACAGCACGCACGACACGAGCCCGAAACCGAAATCGATTTCCCGGCAGGGGGGGTCTCCGTCTCACGTCGGACTCACCCCCGCAACCTCCGATGCGTATGTATGTGCGACAATACCTATATAAATATGCAAGTTTGCATACGTGTATGCATGGTCACATGTATGTGTGCATGCACATGCATATGCATGTATGTATGTATGTTTGTATGTATGTATCTGCGTATGCACGTATGCATGTACGTACGCATGTATGGATGGATGGATGTATGGATGGATGTATGGATGCATGTATGTATGAATGGATGGATGCATGTATGGATGCACGCATGTATGTATATATGCATGCATGCATGTACGTATGCATGCATGTATGCATGCCAGTATGTATGTATACAGGCAGGTAGACAGGCAGGCAAGCAGGCAGGCAGACAGGCAGGCAGGCAGGCAGGTAGATAGGTAGGTCGATATATCGGTATGCATGTAC